ACATTGTCTTAGCCTGCATCCTGCTGTGGAACGGGCATGTCTGTTCTCTTTGATTGTTTCACGCTCATGTCAAAGGTCATCTTAAAACATAATCAAATATGGCTGCGCCCATTGGCATATAGCAGCGAATATTATAAAGGTCTACAAGTCTGTCGATAGTGTTATTATATATTATATTGCTGTGATTATTTCACATGTCTCGAAGGTTAATCTATAGTAAACGTGCCTAATGATTAACACAGTATTTTTAGTGATTTATTTTTCAAGTACCGGCAAATGTTGATTTATTGTTTAAGCCGATGGGTTCATGATTTGATGATACCCATGTATCTAACAGTGTCACTACTGAGTATATTATCAAACAGATTTGTTTTATGTATTAGATGATGTACAGTCCTAAAACCATTGTGATGGCAGATGAGTGCTTATTGCTTATTATTGGATAGTTGCTCCATAGTTTCGTAAGTGTACTCTATAATATTGACTGACACTGCAGTTCTTATTATTATATTATGATTATGAGTCATGCTTTCCTTTATTAATATTGTACTCGATTACTGTATGAAACTCTTATATTTAATTGATAATGTGTAATAATCCACTTTCAATCCGATGGTTCTTTGCAGTAAATTTATACATTTCTACAATATACTGAATTATGATCTCTGAAGACAATTCACTTGCAATTCTTGGTACTTTGTATGTATTATGTTTATGATTACTGTTTACATGATGTAATTAACTGATGTTAATTAGATATTGTTGTTTTATGGGACTGTAAAAGATTTTAGGGCAGCAGACTGTTTAACATTAGAAGGAGAGGAATCTGTGATCAAAGATCAGACAATTATTGTCAAAATAATCAAAACAGATGAACATGAAATATATGCTAATCAACTGAAGGCAACATGGACACAGCCTACAGGGGAAACCAAAATCTCTCAAATTCAGGAAGATGACAATGGAGATTATTTTGTAACAGAAAAATGCACAAGTCCAGGAGTTTGTAAACTAGATGTGAGTGCTGATGATGAACCAGTTAACCAATCACCAATGACAATCAAAGTAGAAGAGGGAAGATTAGTAAATACTATTCAAATAAATGCAACAAGTATTATAGATATAGTTACGTGTGAAGATGACTCCTTACTGGTTTCATGTTTTACAAATAAAATGCTCAAGTACAAGCAATCAGGAGAATATATCGGTAAGGTTACACTACCACAAGGTGTGAAAGTTTACAGAATGTACAAAATGAAGAATGGTAACATAGCATTCAGTGATTACAATGATTATGCACCTGTCAGAATATGCAATATGAATGGTCAGCTGATTAAAACAATTAGTGTGGGAGTACAGAATACACCATGGAGCATTCATGTGGATGAGACATCAAATGTTTTGTATGCAGGAGCAGCAGCAGTTTGGTACAGTAACTGTGTGCACATGTTTGACATGAATAATGGCAAGACCATCAAAACAATAAGGTCATATGGTACAAAAGAAGGTCAAATGGGTGATATCAGTGATGTTACTCTTACTAAACAAGGACACCTTCTTGTATTGGACTATAGCAAAAGTAGATTACAATTATTTAATAATGAGGGAAAGTTTATAAAAGTCCTTGTTGAAGCAGGTGATGAGGATGGTAAGGTAAAATCTCCAAGTGCAGTAGTAGCTGATGAGGATGACAACATTATTATATCAAGTCAACACAAACTACAGCTATTCAGTAGTGATGGAACTTTCATAAAAAGAATTGATAAACCAGAAGATGGAATCAACAATCCACAGGGATTATCCATCATTTCATATCATCCAAGGAGACTTGCAGTAGCAAAT